ACTCCAAAAGACACCCCTTTCATTCTCTTCAAACCCTTTATTCCACTCTTTATTTTCCATCCCTCGGTGTTTGGAATTGCTTATAAAAACAATTTATTGACTTATTTCGATGTGACATCGATAATAAGCATTTTTGAGTGTTTGAATAAACAACTTATACCGGTACCAAACCGATAATAAGGAGTTTTTAAAGAAGTTAAACTCTTCTGGCCTATAACAAGTTGATAAGTGCTTTTGTAAAAAAGCAAAAGTTGTTTCAAATAAGCAATCCTAAATACCCCTTAAATGCAGACGCATTTGGTTTATATCCCATGATCTATTAAATCGCTCAAACATCGGATTTTGAAATCTCATAGTAGTTGTTGTTTCACGATATTTCATACGATTTGGTTGTAACAATTAATTAATAAAAAATTATTTGATTTATTTTCATAATTTTTCATAAATTATCTACAAAAAATTGGAATTCAATTCCATTCTCAATCCCACAAACCAATCATATCGAAAATTTTAAATCTTTTCATGAAATCTAAATCCCTCGAAAACAATTTATCAATTCCTCAAAACAAACTCTTAAATGGATTGCGAATCCCATGAATTTTGTGAAACGCCAAAATAGTCGGTGTACGTATGTTCTCTTGCTTGCATATAATCGGATTCGAACAATACATATACTCTATAGATACTAGAAAGATACTCGTGCATTGCAGCAAGATACATCAAGATAATACTTCGCTTTATTTTTTTTTTTATCTCTATCGATATAATATGGTTTTATGTAATTTTGAGAAAATGATAATGTTTTTATTCATAAAAATCTGAAAAAAAATTATGTCGATATTAATATCAAATTAACTAATTAAAAATTCTTTGTTTTTATGTAATTGCTTTAATTCAAATTTCTTATTATAATTTAATTTAGTTTTAATAATAAAGTAATTTATTTTTAGTTTAATAATATAAATTTTATAAGGTTAATAGTTAACTATTCTGTTATAAGTATAACTCAATGATTATCTTAATTATATTTTAGATTTTTTATATTTAAAATGAGATGTTTATTTAGTAATTGATTATATTTATATACAGTTAGTTACACAAATTCAAACACCGAGCTTTAATAAATTGTACTTACGTACAATTTACTTGTAGCCTCAAATTTTAAGTAATATGCATCAATAAACAGTACTGCATACATAAAAAATAGTTTTTAAGAGTTTCTATCAAATGCTTTAAAATATAGTATAGATTAGTCGACTTGAAATCAAAATTAACCCGACAAAATCAGAACTCATCAAGACAAAATGAGGAGCAAATATTAATTGCCAATCACCTACCATTCCATTTACTCTTCTTTGGAGCTCATAATCTAACACACACAGGTTCATTGTTGTGTAATGAATTGGTAAGAGCTACCAAAATGCCCGAATTCATAGCTAACGAACCTCGTAAATTCCATATGAAGCAGACTGTAGGGTTTGGAAAGGGCAAGATGTACGTAGATCTTACATATCAGTTATAACAAAGCTTAGTAAACCCTACATTAAGGATTGTATGGTTTGAAAAGGGTAAAATGTATACAGATTTTATATCTACCCCAATGAGATCATAACAATTATAACGAACACTAGTAAATCCCACATGGACTAAAGAACTCCAGGGTCTGGAAAGGGTAAGATGTACATAAACCTTTTACCCAACCTCAAAAGGACAAGACCATAGCAGTTGTAACAATTCGTACTCAAAGCAATAAACTTGTTTATTGTCTCCCATGTTTTTGTCAAAGATTTTCTAGACAACCCGAGAAACCACATACGAAAGATAACAGAAAAAAAAAAGCCAATCCACGTTATTCATACGCTAACAACAATCAATGGTCGCGAGTCCTGAACCAAAAAGAACGTATACCCATGTGTTTTTTTTCTATCAATGCGAGTTGTGAGAAACAACTAACTTTTTACCTTGTTCTTGGGTTTTAAAGGTTGGTCTTTGGTTTACCAGCTGCAGCAATACGTCTCGTGACTGATCGCATAGTCACAAATTCCTCGGCAGATGAAGGGTGTATTCCCACCTGCAAGAGATATCGAAGATTTCATTACAATGGGAGAAACGGGATCATGACATCATGTTTCATTTAAGTGTGATTGGCTTAGCGGTACCCAGGTTACGAGTAGAGTCCAACCTCCACAGACAGGGGTAGGGATGGAAACGGGGTGGGTAATGTGCGGGTAATGCATCCCCCGTCCGGCCGTCCCGATCCCGACCTGACTAATCCCCAACGGGTTCAGAGGGAAGAAATCCCCGGCGGGTTCGGGGAACGTGTTTAGTACAAAAACAATGTATTTTAAATTATAATGAATCGTCACGACATTAATTACCACTATTGAAAATCAAATATATGTCATTTAATGATAAATGTGTACATATATATTTAATTATTTATTTATACACACACTATATACATATATTAAATAAAATAATAAAACTAACTGGGGTCAATTAGGGGCAGATAACGCCATCCTGACCCTGCCCCGACCGTCCGTCCAGTAACTCGTCAAACTGGGTAATCCCCGCCCCATCAGGGTCGGGTACCCGTGGCTACCCACCCCAACAGATAAAATTTCCATCTCTGGTCAAGGGTTCAAACCTCACCAAAGATGAGAAGTGTTTGTGAGTTTTGCAGTATATAAAGTATTATACGTTAAAAAGCCATCTAAGCTCACCGTGCTATCAAATTGTGCTTTGGTTGCTCCACACTTGAGTGCAACAGCGATGCCCTATGAAATATGAACATCTTTAGTACTGAACATGAAACTACCAAACAAAAAGAACACGATATACACTCCATACTGAAGAAAAAGAAAGATTAATGAAATACGTAGTCCAGGTGAGATGTTGAAGGACGACAATATAAAAATGCTGCATCACAAGGAACTGTGGTTGCTTTGGACGGTAAAAGCCTGATCAGACATGGGTCTTTTACATCACATCATAGAAACTAGGGTGCAGTATGATCTGGCTCGTTAAGAGGTTGGAGACCCGGGACCTAGCCTTTGTGTTTGATATCTGAGATGAGCTTGAGCCGAGAAGGTATACAAAAGGTATACAAACAAGATCTAGTGAATTTATATTTTCTTAAGGCCAAAATGTAACAGAATTTGCCTTGGTTTCTAGTTAGTGTAGTGATAAAAAAATTCTGAATAATGTAATAACAAACGCTCAATTCTTCCTATTTTTTACCCATTTTGATTGGTAACTGCTAGATTTTGTAACTATTGATGACATTAATGACAATTATCAAGTTATAACGTAATTCTTAGTCACATGAAAAAAATGTCGCATCAAAATGGGTACGAAATAGTAAGAACTGAACGTTTGTTACATTAATTCAGGAAAAAAAAATCCATAGTTACACTAAAGATGAAATAAAGCAAACTTCATTACGTTTCTGACCTTAGACTGAATTTGTTTCCTGAACCATTTAGTTGATGTTTTAAGGAGCATATATTTTAACTAGATGTTTAGTCAATAAATACCAAACTAAGACTCGAGTTTTTGATGAGCCTCAGTTTTCTCAGCTCAGCAAGCCCGACCATACCAGCTCTTTCCCCAAATCAACTCAAATAAATGGCTAGTAGAAACTACAGGTGAGGACATTGGCAATTCAATTAGAAGCATCAAGAATGACTAAAGCTACCTGCATAATCTCGGCTGCATCTGGCCCACACATCGATGCACCGATAACTTTATCGGTCTCCGCGCTGACGATAAGCTTCATGAGTGTCTTCTCTTGCCGTCTGTGGATATATATATGAAGATAGAGTTGAATACAAGTATCATACAAGGTAGCAAAAAGTGCAAAACTAAAAGCTCCATTCAACTGCAATATTCCAATTATCATCTTGTGGGTCCCATTCAACTTGAAGATGGGACCACGAAGATAAAGAAATGGAGGGTGACACCGAAAATTGCACATATTTACGTACCCAGAGATGGAGTTCTTCATAGGATTAAATGTTGATGTGAACACCAAAATGTCTCCTTGGGCTTTCTCTATGGCCTCTTCTTCACTTACTCCAACAACAGAGAGAGGCGGTATGCTGCAATGGCAGAATATAAATTTGTTATACAAATGTAAAGGTGTCAGACGTTAAGGAAATTGGGCTCCTTCTAGTTTTTCCGTTCTAATACACTCCCCAGTAACATGTTGCACCCAAGGCTCCATGGCTTTGCAAGGGATTGGGAGGAACGTCTTTGTATGTAGTCTTCCCCTTCCATTCTCGCCAAGAGAGATTTTCCGTGACTCGAACCATTGTTGTATCAAACCAAACAAACCCAGTAAGTCCCACCTCGAGGTGGGGTCTGGGGGTGGGATGTATGCAAAGTGCAAACCTGACTTCTACCTCGAGAGTAGAACAACTGTTTCCATGAAGACCCGGCTTGTGCAAAGTGTGCAAAAAGAAAGGGTGAAGCTTGTTCAAAAATTTTGCAACTTGAAAATAAGAAAGACGGTGCTAAAAATGGAAATGAGTTAGAAGTAAGCAACAGAGAGGAACAGGTACGATAAAACATAACCAAGGTAGGAATAACTACACACCCAATCTTGGACTCAGAAGATCTAATACTAGCTCCCTAATCCCTACCCCATTGTGGTATTCTCTAAGCAAAATTTGTTGGATTTCTACTCAAGAACCAAGATCAGAACAAAAAGGCCAGACTCCCAAGTCCCAACCACTCAGAGAAAGTAAATTGGTGAATTTTTTGGTCGGGCCAGAAAAAGAAAGAGAAGTTCAGGAAGAAGATGATTTGTTACCAGAAAACGGCACAAGGTATATTGCTGTAGTCAGGCTTGCTAGGTTCATTACCAAAGACTGTTTTCTGTATGCACAGGAGAAATTATGTCAGCAAAATGGAACTACTCCGTTTGCAAAATAAATGCAACAATTTCCTTTTCAAAATTCTCGGATAAATGAAACATTTCCCTTTTTGGCTTAAATCCGTGATTACTTCTTTCCCCCATCGGTGATCATTACAACATATTGATAGCATCGATTCAGGTTCGGAAGATTTCTCTATTGAGTGTATTTTAGATGTTGGATTAATCGTATGACACTTCCGTTAAACTATGCACCCATCAAAAAGTTGCATTTATTTTGGGACAGATATAACATAACAGAAGAACAATCAATCGGTTCAATATAAAATTCAAGAGCAGAACTCATAGAAGGCCGAAATCACATACAGCGAACAAAGTCCCTTCCATCAAGGCGACAGGAGTAAGATTCATCCGATTGGTGGCATCACCTATGGCCCAAATGCTAGACACATTGGTGCGAGAAAACTCATCAACCTGCATTGTGGAAAACCAAAAGGAAGGGAGATATCAAAATACAGAACCAACTATATCAGTGTCTCGAAACTTCACTCTTTACACACACCCACATGCATATATATATATGTGTGTGTGTGTATCAAGTGATTTGGACTTCATTATCTTCATATTTGTATGAAAGAGCAAAGCGTGAAAGTAATCTCACAAATCTACATTGTTTGAGGTTTTAAATATGTTCCGGCTAACATGGATAAATTGCAAAAGTTAGGAATTCTACAGACATTCTGCATACTTTATTAAGCATTAGTCAACATTTGTTGCTTCTGTAATGTTTCACTAATGGAGTATACGAGTATAACTTAGCAACTAATATTGTATTATTCCCTCCATCCTAAAACAAATTCAACAATTCCTTTCCGGGATTTCCCAACATAAATTCAACATTTCCTTTATTGGCTAAATTTTAATCCAAGATACCTCTTTGCCCATTAGTTTCATCACAAAGAACTGATAACATTGATGTTGGTCCACAAGACTCATCTGCTTTATCATCATTGAGGGGTATTTCAGATATTGCTAATAGAAAATCACTTCATTAAACTACGGGCCTAGAAAACGTTGCATTCCATATGGGACGGAGAGAGTGTTATAAATTGTATCAGTAAAAGGGGTGAAACTGAGACTTGTGACCTTGCACAGGAAAGGGAGATATCTCTCAAATAAGTCCATCACCTTCGCTCAAACTTCACACCAGTAAAAGGCATCAAATGCCACACTGACCATCAGAATCAAATGTTCATCTTATTCCTTATTTTGACCACAAACAAAACAAACTTAGGGAAATAAAGTTAGAGAGTTTATCAAAAGAACCTTCACTGCTCCTGCACTGTCAACTTCAACACCTACTGCTTGCAAATTTAACCTCTTTGTATTAGGGAGCCGCCCTGCAACCAAGGAAGAAAAAATGTAAGATTTGGAGATGAATGAGCAAGCAAAGCCTTACACACAGATTATACTTATTCACCGTTTTAGTATTTTGGAGAATTTTCCAAGCATATGAGCAAGAATGCAGAATGATCATACAGCAAGGTTTTGTACTTTGTAGTAAGAAAATAAAGGTTTGTTTACTTCAAGAGCAAAATATGGATGCCTACTAAAATTCCCTGTTAGCACCATAAAGCAAAAAAAAGATTATGCCTTCTCTATATCGAGGGAGGAGTACCTTTCAGAGGTTTAAGGAACAATACACTAATTTTAACTCGTATTGGTTATACGATATATTGAGTTACGCTTTTCTACCCTTACAGCAGGGAGTGCCTCACAGAGGTTTAAGAAAAAGTATGGAACCTCTAACTCTCAGAATTAGTTACAGAGGCGTGTTCGTGATGCTACACATACACATTGGTATTGATAGGGACACGAAAATAGCTGTAAGCATGTCTGGCATGGTACTTAGGAATCGAATCTTACATCATTGGGATCAATGATAGAGTGATTGATGACGATTTTAAACCACATGATTTAATGGGGTGAAAAAAATGGTGATAAACATCAAGTGTCTTAAAAGCCGCCCTGGATGTGAAAGCTAAGTTCAATAGGACAGTGGTGAAACCAGCTGAGTTGTGGGGTAAAATGTTGGGTTACCCAAAGAAAGCAGTACACCAGATGAGTATTTAACAGAAACATAAACAGTGAAGAGGACGGGTGGCCACCCAAAGAGATGGAATTAGAAACGATGATATATGATACGTGGTTTGGGCCACTGCTTGAAGGGAGACCAAAGCGACAGCTAGAATAGACACATTGACCAAAAGTGGATAGCTTGCAGAGATGGAGGTCAGCCAAGATTTAATATGGGAGTGAAAACAATTTCAGCAAGTTAACTATATCGCAATAAAATGTTTGTTGTTGTAGAGTACAAGAAGCCATTATTTTGCTTCCCTTGCTATTTTAAGATTTTATAGGACACTAAGAAACATCACATCAAAAAATGGGTAAATAATAAAACTACAGTTTTATCAAATGGCTGAGAATGTCATTCAAGTAGACCAAAAAAAGAAATTGCTACAAGTTAGCAGCATCATGTAAAATATGTGGGACTACATAAAAATAACCGGGATCTAATCAATGTGATTATCTTCAGGAGAGCTAACAAAGAGGTCCAACCATATCTGTAATCATCGAATAAGAGGCATAAAATTACCAGTGGCGAAAAGTACAGCATCTGCCATTAATTCTTCACCATGATCTGTAGTAACTTTTATGCCATCCTCCGTTTTGACCAGCTGAAACATATACATACGATTTAAATCACTGGAAGATTCGGGAAAGATAATGTGGTATAATCAATAATTAGTTGAACTAAAAGAACCTGAGTCAAGTTAGTCTGTGGGTGCAAAATTATGCCTCTTCCTTCCAGATTTCTTGCAACCAGAGCTCTCATTTCATCATCAAAACCCCTGCAATGATAACTTCATCAAGAAGGCGGTCTTGGAAAAGTTCACTGAAAAATGTCAATTTGGCTAAAACAGGGCTGGTTGTAACTGAGATGAAGTCAAATATTTATACAGGACAAAATTGTCTGGGGAAGAAAGAATAAACAAAAGTTTTTCAGAAGTTTCTATGACCTTAATGGAAGTTCCTTTCTGAAGCATAGATTCACTGTGGAGCCCATCCCACGCCATATTGAAGCAAACTCAACAGCAATATACCTGATAGGATATAAGAATTAGTCGTCCTATGAGGTTGCTAAACTAAAAATATATAGGAATTATAGGATGAAGAAGGCAACGCACCCTGCCCCGAGTATAACAACGCGCTTTGGTAACTCATCCAAACTCAAAGCCTCATCTGAGGTTATAGCCAACTCCTAAATTGACACGCACAATCGTAAAAGAGCATGATTTTTAATACTGTATACAGAGAATGGGATGTGAGGACAAGAACTTGAATGGATTATTTGGATGTTTATGGATTGGGTGATTTAACAGTTGTCAAGTAAATAAATAACCAGTTGTTAACTAAGAAAGCAGTTGCTTGATTTCCCATCAAGAAGTGAAAATTTCCCAAAAATTTTACCTGCCCAGGAATAGCTGGACGTGCCGCCCTGCTACCAGTTGCTATCAGTATGTGCTTTGCTGTATAGGACAGTTTAGTGCCATCCAATTGTATCACCTCCACTTCATTTGGGCCCACGATTCTCCCCTCCCCTTCAAACAGTTTGACTCCTGCATTTGAAAGTAAGCGCTTGTATATCCCATTTAGCCTCAGTATTTCCTCAGTCTGCAATAACATATATATGTGATGAATAAATATTACCCTGCCGGTTACCCTACGTATTACATGAAATCCAGAAATTATTATTTACCCAAACATCCTTCACATGTGTGAATACATATATATATATATATATATAGACACACTCTCTTTAAACACATATGGACACATCTTTACCATTTGTGAATATGCACATGTCACATGTGTCCTTGACTGAGAATTTACCCTTGACACTATGATTTAATGAGTAGATCCTACTAAAAGTAAGTCAAACAGTTTTAGATCCTACTAAAAGTAAGTCAAACAGTAGTTGAATATGGATGTATGGTAAAATAGATACGACAAAATATGAACTGCTCATAAGTTGGTTTATAATGTAGACACATACAATGTTTTCTAATACAAACTTGAAGATTGCTGAAGAAGAAACTAAAATATAACATGATCCGGAAGAGGTCAAACAAAAAAAAAAAAAAAACAGAAAGCAGTCCTAGCAAGGTAATTCTTGTTTTTCCACCTTTCACAATATTACATCGAGTTGCATCTTTAAAGAAAAGGTAAATAACGAATATATCACATATGAAATAGTATAGCTAGCTAGGAAGGATAAGCAGGTATAATACTAATTCCACAAGAACCCTTGCAACCCAATAACCCTTTCAGGTCAACAGATTCAACATCAATGGTATAATGGCAACCATAAAGAGTAAACTGAAGTTGGAAAAAGAACAAAGCAAACAACATTACATGTTTAGAGAGAGGTCCTTGTACATAAACTGGCCTCTCCATTATCAAGTGATCTGTTTTGGGAGAAAGCAGCATTGCTGTCATCCTACGTGGCTACGTGAATATAAGTAATTGGCCGCAGCACAAGTACTCATTTGAACAACTTGATCCCACTAAAGTTGAAGGAAAGATAGTGCCAACAGAGAGTTATCTTTGACGTGATAACGGTTTCCAGGTCACTCCTGATAGCCAGGGGATTAGTCGGTGCACGTAAGCTGGCGTAGAAACCCACGATTACCCAAAAAAACACGAAACTACCACTTGAATGGCACTACTATTGGCACTGTTGTGTGTATAACTAGCAAAGAACAATGTATGTTGCACGAAGATCTTTGCATGATTTCTTTTTTGATGTTTAATTTAATTGATTTTTCCAAGTTACATAATAAAAGAGGAGATGAGAGAAAAACAACACACGCTCAAGGAGGAAAACAAAGGGTAGTCTCAGAGTAAAGTTCCCTGTCATCACAAAATAAATGAATATTGACCTGGTGGCAAAAATGTTCAGTCATTTTATGTCATCACATTTCACTATCTTATGCTATTTAAAATAACTGAACATTTTTGCCACCAAAAATCTAAAATTTGAACTATTCTACATGAACTATTAAGTGTGATTACGAAAAGGTTTTCAAGTTTTTAATACTCATTTGATTGGCTAAAGTAGTTGATCATGAGAAAGAATTTATCAAGAAAAAAGTGTGTGCAGTTGATTTTCTACCAAACAAAGAATACCTACATAGCATGTATTTATTGCCTTTAAAACCAAAAGGCTCACTTAATTTGGGAAAGTAACAAATCTAAAGGCTCATTTATTTGGGATAGAAGGAATGCCAAATAACAGTGGCATGCAATTAAACATTAAAAGCTTGGTAGAAATTATCATTAATGCTGATGTTATGGATACTTAGAAACAGACATAGATGAGAAATTATTTTCAAATTAAAGCAACTTGATCATTGTGTAAGATTGGATGTGAACAAAGGTAAGAGAAAAAAAAATTAAAATTACAGGGTAAAAACATTTAGAAATTCAAATACAAACAAGTACGTTTAGCTTACAAATCTTATACACTAGTCGAACATGTTCCAAAAGCATCACAATCTTAGTGTCTACATATTATTGATCCCTCGTTATTATTCCTAGAGACTCACATGATACATATAAGAAGATAGAAATGAAAATCATTTAAACAAAATCTACAGACATGTTCAACTAAAATTAAACATCATACAACTTTATCCAATATTATGAGTTTTTAACAAGATTCTATAGTAGTGCAGTACATTTTCTATTGTTACAAGCAGAGAAAACAAAATTATTATTAGAACATGTTCCAACACAAAGGTAAGGGTCAAAATATCCAAGTTCAATATATCTAATTCTCCACTTTGGATCCTTGTGATTAAAAGAAAAAGATATCATTCAACCATCATTATAAGAATTCAACATATAGGATTCGTCTTCTCTGAGTATCCAAGGGTTTGTGGATGAATGCTCTATTAAGTGAGTACATCATAGTTCTTGTAAGAAGTCAGAAGAGAAGACATCGAACAACAGGATTAATATCAAATGCTGTTAGTGGCTAAACGATGACAGCAGAAGAGCCAAATTTACTAGAGGTATAATATAAGCCAATTTTTTTAATGGAAATGAAAAGGTAGGCAGTAAAATAGTGAAATAAGAATGATTCATGACTAAAGCTGTTCCTATGGGTAAGAGAAAGAAAGAGCCAAATTTACTAGAGGTCTCATTAACCCAATTAATTTAAGGCCAGGAAAAAATAGAAATTAAAATGGTGAATAAAAAATTATTTACAACTAAAGCTGATCCTATTAGTTAGAGACATATCTAAGCTAAAACAAAATACCCACTAAAGTTTAAAACACACCTTCTTGTGCAGTAGCTTTTTCCAATCAAAATCAATCTTCTCATTCACTTGCCATCCATATTCCCTTGCATCCTACACGTGTTGAAACAAGGATGAGTACAAAATATTTGTATTTCTCTTCTAATGGAAGTGCTAATGAAAAGAAGAGATAGATAATTTCAATAGAATAGCATTTACATACAAAAATTATCCAGAGAAACATAACCATATCTGCCTAAAAGGCAAATAGAATGCCATTCAGGGTAAAAAAATTCTAGACAAATAAAATTTCACAGTTTGCCTAAACACCTTTAAGTTTTGGAATTATGTTTAAGGCGGTAGAGCCTTGAAGCAGAATAACAAGCTTTATCTCCCAAACTAGTTGGGTAGGCTAAAAATCAAAATCAAAATCAAAAGAAGATATAAAATGTAAACCCAAGAGCCAACACAAAAAGGTGAAACACCTAATGGTTCAGTGGCAGGAATGGCATCGGTCCATGCACTCCTATCTAAGATCCACCCCACTCATGCAAAATCACCCTCAATTGCTTATCTTGTTGTCAGTCTTGGCCCACCTCAACCTCTCCTCACAATTCCCTCTTGGTGTAAACCTCATTTTCCAACCAAATCATTAAAACGTCTAGGCTAGACAGCTAGAGATAATCAACCCGCCTGAAATCATGTTGCCTAAGTGTCTACTCTATGGTTGCCACCCAAACCTTCTCCAATATATTATTGTTTTTACTCTTATCCCTCATTTGGTGACCGTACATGGACACCTCCACATTTCTGCTACAATCATCGTCTGTACATGTCGTCTTTTGGTGACCCAGCATTTTGCCTCATTTGGTGACCATACAGGCACTTGAAATAATGTTTGATGTTTCCTACTGCCCATTTATACCTGTCCATTTGCAATCTTGTCTAAGTTGATAATATATTTAAAAAAACAAGGTTCCGTCGAAAAAAGAGCCCAACACGATATCAAAATGAAATTAAAACAAAAGAAAAGGTAAATGATATATACCAAGTGACAGAAAAAAAAAGGATGTATAAAGCACATCAACAATTTTTTCAATTTCAATTGCACTATGAACCTTCATCTCAACTTCTCACACTGTCTACTAGTTTTACTGAATTAATAACAGCACCAAGAGAATCTTAAAGAAAGGAATAAAGGATCCAGGATTTTAAAAAAACCATCCCTTTCGGTAGTTTCTAGTAGAAGCTCAATATCACCTGAATTTCAGGGCCAAAGCTTGCTCCATAGACCAGAATCTTTTTAGGAACGCACCCACGAATCACACATCTGCACCACATGTAAACATTATAAGATGCACCATTACAGAAGTCAGAAGGTGTATGATTCTCAATCAGAGAAGCATGGATGCTCAGTCTCATAACACAACTGCTGTTCAAGCATCATCTCAAAATAATATAAAAGTACATGTTAAATAATAGATATCACTATAGGTACCACTTGAAACAAAGAGTTGACAACTTACGTTCCTCCGACACCTCCTACCACTTCTGAGCTGATTGGATGAAATGGCAGCTCGCAAATCCCAACCTTGCAATAAGAGTTGTGAAAGAGGGATTAATAATTGCATTCGTAGTCACGTAAAATGTACAAACTACATTTATTAGCATGAATAAATTTGTTGAACATAAGTCTTGTATCTTCCATGTCAATTGCAAAAAAATCACAACATCCGTGATGTCACATATAAACTATTCCCTCCATCCCATAAAATTGCAACTTTGACCGACCGTGTAGTATAACTAAGTTTTTGACTACTAGTCAAATGTCTAAGATACCTTACAAAATGACCAAATAAGAAAAGAAATGGCCTCAGGCAGTACCACAGTTGGTTCCGGGGGGGTATACTTGCACAAACAGGTGAGGGTTCAAGTCTCACAACCGCAGTTTGGGAGTTGCAATTCCTGTGGGACTAGAGTCCTTGTGGGCAACGGGCTCTTAAGTCAGCCATCTAGTGAGCCGTTGTATACTTGATTTGCCACTCACATGATGCTTTTGGGGCGGGGCGGTGTGGGACAGCTCAGGGGTTGCCGGTTACAAACCCAATAGGAAAAAGAAACATTAATATCATTGTAATTGAGGGAGCAGGGTGTTCCCTTTATTGGAAAATTTCTGAACTGCCATTACCTATTCATCCATGATGATCTTTATGACTTATTGATTGATCCTAATTTGTCAATATTCAAGAGTGGTTTACACATTTGATTAGTACTCAAAACAATATCAAACTGTGTAACGCCAACTGTTGTAAATTTCATGAATGAGAGGAGTAATTTGAAAGATTTCCTTTATGATAATTAACTGCCAGATTAGGCATGATAGGCAGGACGGAAAACTTTGATGAGGTAAAAGAAGCATCCCATGACTGGTCGTTCTCTGTTGTAAATCACATGTTACTGCAAACGCTAGTTTCTGTGTATGTTGGGGGGTTATTTTTTAGGATAAGTGGTGAATGAAGCGTTGAATACAACTTCAACATATATATATTCTGTCTGGTGAGAACTTCTATTTTCAGATTAAACCACCAAGATCACTAGGAAATCTAAACTTCACAATGAAACCCACAACTAAAGCAACCACCCAATTGCAATTAGCTCAAATGGAAGTCCCTTGAGGGCAAGAAACTGACAGAACGATGTATTAGTATAAACAAAAATCCATAGACCACACACTTTGTCATCAGTGATTTACCAAAGTCTTGTTTTCTTTAGCATGAAGAGATAAGAAAGCACAAATAAACAACCATACACATTCAAGCAATAAATGCTACCTTAGCTCCATACTGAGCTGAAAATCTGGATGCCCTAACACCGCCACTACCAGCACCAATTACAAACAAATCAAAATCATAGTGTGTCTCTTCAGTAGTCTCACCCACATCCCCATCGATCAGCATCTTCCTCGACATGATTAGAATACTAAATCCACATAAAATTGCACAAGGTATTAACAACCGATCAATAATATGTAATATATCCATTTCCTACTTATTCGATACCACCCAGGATGTAAAAAATTCAAGGAAGTTGAAAAAATCAGATCCAGAACATACCACGTATAACGATAACCTGTAAATTTTCACGTAATTTTCGCTTTTTTGTACAAAAACGATCCCCGGATTAAAGCAATACCGAATTTGAGGCTTCTTAACGATTTACAACATCAATTTTGAGGAAAATCTTATGAGCAACCATACTAAAACATACATAAGAAACATGAAGTACGTATTATACAAATTTACCTGTTTAGAGTTGAAAGAACGTAGCAAGCTTGATCTTGAGTAGGGTTTTAACTTGTTGTGGAAGAAATTATAACGAAAATGGTTCAGAATCTAAGGGTTTGAATAGCAATCTGCCACGCAGTCGTGATTGTTGATGCTTTAATTAGATGGAGAATGATCTGTTCTTCAGGTATTTAAACTACAGGGTTGGAAGTTCGCAATTCGCTTGCTTTCTTCTATGGTCGTACCCTGTGCAGTTCGATGTTGTACCCTTCCACCCAAATGTAAAATCAACTATTTCATTTTTGAATTATTTTTTAATAAAAAAATCATTAAAATAACTCATTTTAAATGATTAAATGATTGAATTATTTTTTAAAATAAAAAACTATTAAATTTTCTTATTTTAAATAATTAAGTTCTTGAACCAGTTTTTTAAATTTCGGTGGTTTATTTATTGTTAAAAAATGTTTATGGATTTAATCATTAAAAATGAGAAAGTTTAATGGTTTTTTCAATCAAAAATAATTTAAATACTTAATTATTCGAAATATGATAGTTCGTTGAGCATTTATGAACTTTTCCTTTTCTTATATATGTTTATCGTTTGAGAACTCTAAAGAGATCCATATTAAGGGATTGTTTGTTTACCTCTTAATAGTTCTATTAATAGGCTCTGAACCGTTAAGAAGTGAATCTTGTTTGGCAAAAAAAAAATCTGTCTTTTAATGGTTCTAAAACCCTCTGAATGATTTTGTATCTTAGGCCTCCCTTAACCATTAAGAGCCATAATTTCATCGTAAACAATTATATTTCATTTTGCACTATATCATGAGAATCTTTTAATCATTCTGACCACTTAATGATTCTACGCAAAACCATTCAGCAACTGTCAAACAGCCCCTAAGACATCAATATAATATTATTAATTAATGAAATAATTAAGGGCGCAATTATTAGTAATAGTTTTTTTGTAGTAAAACGTTTTCAATTTGCTCAACTTATGTGCATACTTAATTGTTTGGTGTGGGAAACGATAATTTTTGACGTTTCACATATGAAACAACATTGCATATACAGTGTACTTTCACACGGATTGATATGAAACCCGGCTTTTAAGTTTATATGCATTACTGGATCTTTAAAAGAACGAGGCTCTATTTAATTTAGAATAACTTTGAAAAAGTATAAATGTTTAGATTCATAAATTATTCTCCGAACACAATTCATCTGAGCCCGTTTGGTTTAATGAAATGTTTTTGAAAGATTTGGAATTGGGAGAATTTGGAATGTTTGGTTTATAGAATTTGAAATGAAATCAGATTCCATTATTTTATAAATAATTTAAATACTTTTTTATTAAATGATTATCATAACGTATTTTTAAACACTATTACATATAAATCTACGAAATACCAATCATTCCCTTTGATTTCAACATCGTATGCTTAAGATATTTTAAATCCAGAAAATTTTTCAAACCAAACACAGGAAAGGAAAGGAATGAAATTCAATTTCAAATCACTCCACGTCTAATCAAATCCTACAAATCAAAACGGGACCTTAGGGGGCGTTTGCGTTTGGTTTGATGGAATGATTTCGAGAGATTTGGAATATTTGATGTATTTGGTCTGTAGGATTTGAAATACAGTTAAATTCTTTTTCTATAAATAATTTTTAAAAATAAATTATAAATAATTATGATTATGATTATAAAAATAATTAAGTCACTTTTTTATTAATTAATTATTATAAAAATTGTATTGATTATATGAATAGTAAATTAATGGGCAGGTATCCATTTACCCCGAAAGGAGTTTCACAAATTGTGGACATAGTTTTATCCACAAAAAAGTCCAAGTCCGAATCCCGACAAAGTCCGGTCCTGGCCTGGCTTCAAAGCCCGTCGAAGTCGAACCAGCCCGGAGAGTCCAACCTAAAAAAGTTCAGTAAAGCCCGAAAAAGCTTGAGAGAACTTTTAATCCCAGAAAAAAGTTGCTTGGTTTTGTTGATCCCAACCAATCGTCAGATATAAAACCAAACAAATCCCATATCGGTAGGATGTATATAGATCTTTCTTTGGGATAAAGAGGTTGTTTTCAAAAAGACCCCCGGTTTGGAAAATGAAAACGAAAACAAATGAGAAAAACAGGCTCCAGGCAAGAGGGTGTGCAAAATCAAAACCAGACTTCAGACATTACAAGGATAATCCAAAGTCGAAAATAGAGTACAACACGAAAGACAACAGATCCGCATCTCGAAAGATTGCGATTATTTTAAGACTCTAGACTTTAAATAGGTGATGAAATCACGGTCGCTTTAAATAGGTGATGAAATCACGGTCACTTTAAATAGGTGATGAAATCGCGGTCGCCAAACGATGTTTGGTCAATTGGATGGAAACAACCATCATAAGTCGAACCTTCAGTCATGGGTCGTCTTCGTATGCTTGTTTCCATCGAAAGCCATCATTTACGGACGTTTCTGGGATGGTCCTACCCCAGATTTGGCCTGCTTAATGGCTGACTGAACCTCATTCCAAGCATCGGCTGATATTTCTTGCAGAGAGTCGGAGCTGTCATCGCTTGTATCCTGCACGCCCAACGGCTCAACTTGATTCCTGGCTGGCTTAACAGGATACTCAAGTCTGGGAATCCTAGACCATATATCGTTCAACAATTAGCAACTTTTACAACAAAGGACACATAGAATAACTCGTGGTAGTTAGCGGTGTAGCAAGAGAAGCCAACACATCTAGAAGTTAGCAAGCTCAAACCCATGACGAGCTTGTTGGCTTGTATGGCCTGAGCTCCACGGCTTAGCAAACCAAGCGAACCCACAAAATCCCTGGCACAGGTAGGGTCGGGGGTAGGATGTATGTGACCTTAGGGTAGAAAGATTGTTTCCACGACTTGAAAAAAGTTAAAAGAAACTAGCGAGCAAGCTACAGGTGAGAGTGTGTGCAAACAAACAAAAAGGACGGTAAGCAGAAAATGCCATATTCGAGAGAAATAGGTTAAACAAACAAGGAAACACAAGGGTGGGGGTGTAAACAAGTCGAGCTTTTATGAGCTCCTCGAGCTCGTTTATCTTGAGCTTAATGATTCTCAAGCTCGAGTCAATCTCGAACACAAAATAGAACTCGTATAACTTAACGAGCCAAGCCTCAATAAAACCAATGTTCGACTAGACTCGTTCGAAAGCTCGATTAAATTTTTTGAGTCGAGTCGAGCCATTTGAACATATACTTTTCAAGCCAAACATGCTCATATGTTCATAAATAATACATTAAAATATAAAATTTATCACTTCGAGCCAATAAACGAGTGAATCGATCGCGAGTATGAGCCCATAAACAAGCATTGAGCTTGAGCCTACATTGAAAAGGTTATTTGAGCTCGAGTCAACTCGAGGCTGGTATAATTTTTTTCGAGCTAACCTACTACTCGACTCAGCTCGTTTACACCCCTACACACAGTGCATGAAAAGTGAAGACTAGTGTACAGCAAACTGGTAGCACGGTACTGACAAGCAGCTATGATTTTGCTTAAATGATTGCCAGCTTATATAACTATATAACTTCATTAATAGCAAGACAAGTTGTAAAGTCTAACCTGTTTTCCTCATCCACAAGGTCTGCAAGTAAATTCTTTTCAACCTCAACACCTGCAAATGATGAAGACCCCTGACTTGTGAAAAGTGTGAGAAAGAAAGAAAATTTGCGAAAAAAAATACGAAGAAATTTGAAAAATGATGTTTTCATGTATCAAACATAAAACATACATGAGGCAGTGAAACCATTTCGATAAGCCACGGGATCTTCATAAGAGCTGGTAGGAGGAAACCTATAACAAAAAATAATTACGCAAAGGAGAAAAAAATTAGCAATAGCCACAATATATGCCACCTGAGTGGTGATTTTATCATATAAATTCATTATTACCGGCTACCCTTGATGGTCATTCCGCCTATCTTTGCAATTTCCTCAAAGATTTCCTCTGCAAGATTGAGAAGTGAATTCAAAAGATAAGAAATCAACCACTTGGGTTGTAGCAAGCCTAAGAGGGACGTAGTGGAAATCTCATCTTCCAAGGGTTTAAATTCAGGCGTTGCCAAACCCTTGTGGCCATGGGGGTTCACCTGCGATGACACCAGGCCATTCGTGGTCGCCCGAGGATTAGTTGGTGCATGTAAGCTGGCCCGGAAACCCATGGTTACCCAAAAAAGAGAATGCAAATTACAGATTAACAAGATCATGATGCCTTACTGTTAATTACTCTGGAACTACCACATAAAATGAAAGGAAAGAGCACGAGGAAGTATTTATCATTTTTCTCCGCTCCTGATTCTTTATTTTATGGGTGTTAAATGCTCTAGAACTACCACATGAAGTATATGGGACCCGAAATATCCATATAATTAAAAAGCCATAAAATGAGAATGTTCAATGGCAAAAACAAACAGAACCTAAACATCATGGTTTTAATATGTAGATTTTATAGATGTCTTTAAGAGGAGAAACTCCGGTCTTAAAGAGAATGGACGAGCACAAAAAAATTTGCCACATTACATTCTTTAGAATTTTTTAACCCAGGTTTAACTACCCATTTTTCATTTGCATCAATATTATTTGATCGTTTAACTAAAAAACCAAATAATAATAATAAATATAGTAATGATAATAATAAATAGAATCAGTTCGTTCTTTTGTTAACTCGGCTAAGACTCCCAAAACTAAAAATCCCAAAAATAGGATTAAGGCTTGATACTATTAGAGATGGCAAAAAAGAATATTATATTCATAAAGCAGAAAAATGGAATAAGAAAAGATGATGAAACAATTAACTGTGAATCTGTGATCCTAAAATGCATTTCAATTTGTCAAACCTGAAAAGATGATACTTACGCATGTTCTATTTATTTGGAAGTGGAGTTAAAAAAAATAACTGCCATTCATTTTTTGAATTTTACCTCCTTCGATATCTTTTCCAGAGAAGTATTTATGCCTGAGGTACACAGCGAAGTCGGCTTGCAGTTTCTCAAGGTTTGACATAGTGTCCTTCGAAGTTCTAGACAAAAACCAAATAAGATCATCAGGTAGCTTCTTATAAGTTTTACAAAAACACATTGAAGACCAGAAACAATTCAATAATGGCTTCTTCGACTGTTTAGAATGCAAGTTTGTGCTACACAGCAAAAGATCAGCTACATCTTAGTACCAGGTGATCAATATGAACATACAATTCTTAGGTCCCGTTTGGTTTGTAGGATTGGAAAGGATTTGGAATTCAATTCCATTCCAATCCCACGTTTGGTTTGATGGATTGCTTGGATTTGAAATCCCACAAACATGGGATTTAGAAATACTATGAGGTTTGTTGGTATTTCATGGGATTTTGTAAGATTTGTGTGTAATAATGTTTAAAAATATGTTGAAAACATTTTTTTGTAATAAACAACTAAAAAAGTAATTAAATTAATTATAATTTGTTTTTATAAATTATTTATAAAAACGAATTCAATTCAATTCTAAATCCTACAAACCAAACACATCAAAGAATCCAAATCCCTCCAATTCCAAATTCTTCCACGAAATCCAAATCCCTCAAAACTATTCCATCAAACCAAATGTCTCCTTAGTGTATTTCAGTGTTAAGTTGTCAATCATCAAATAAGTAGAAGGGACCTAAAATAAAATACAAAAGTTAAGGAAGAAAAGGATGTGTTCTGCTTCTAGCAAAGAGAGAGTCAAAGGAAAGAAAATAGAAACAGTTCTTTTTTGTATATTGTGTGTCTGCAATATATCTCATAAAGACACTCGATTCAGTTTTCAAAGAATTACTCCTTCCCCTAACTAAGTGGCCACCACTATTTGACAAGGACCCAAAAGAAGTGCCTCCTCTGACTTACCCATTAAAATATAGTCAATCCTGAAGAAAAGCATAGGGAAAATATTTAAGTTTCTGTTCTATAACTCTTGGGTTATGAGTCTGAACTATAGAAACAGCTTCGTTTAACCGCAGAGCCACAGAGAGTAATGCATTGAATATATGTTTTCAAAACTACACAAAGAAGACAGGCATTCCGCCTAAGGCCACCCTTTTACACTATACCAATCTTCAAGTAATTGTTAGAATAGGCAAACAAGCCAGCATTCTGGTAATATGTCTATGTAGATTATGAGATATGGAACTTGTATGATGATATCTGCAGACATTTTACTGAATTTTTCTGCAGTTCATATTACAATGGACTGAATTCATACAAACTCACGACACTGAGACAAGTAAGATATCAAACTGTGTTTCACGTACTGTTTTTGGAAGTTGCTAGCATTCAACCTTAGATCTTCTTCTTAATGCTACTATGTAGATTTATATGTTCAGATCTGCGAGAATTTAACATATTCAAACTTTAGCTACCTGCCTTATTTGATAATTCCTTAAGACTTCCTTAACTTTCCTATTTTAAATTTGTTGATGATGTTGATTTCTGAAAATCGAATTTTTGACCAACAACACAGATATATAGCAATTAATGTGTATACCATTCCCAGAGGGCAGACAAAACCTACAATCAAACACGCAAACGTTTGATCCTTTCTATCATGAAGAGGGTTAGCCAAATTGAATGTCAAATGTGTTCCTATAAATGCCAATTATAAACCGATCAAGAAAGAATCAAGTGAAAAGGCAAAATCAACAAAAACAGAGAACGAGAAGGAATGCAAAACTGTGGCATATGTGCATCTCTGTGTGTAAGAGAGAGGAGAATGATCATACCCCTTCTTGGAGCCTTCCATATTGCGATTGACAATCGCCAGATATGACGAGAGGAGTTGGCCGCCGCGACTGCGCAAGGGGATGGTGGAAATGAGGGATTATTAGGGTTTCATGATTTTATACCCATTCTGTAGATTAGAAAAGGGGGAAAAGTACATACCCCTAGGTAAGGGCCTAAGGCCCATATCGTGTTATTTAGAAAAATAGTCTCAACCACTAAATCTTGAATCGAGGCATGGTATCGTGGGGGTAAACTAGTAAAAGGCCAGTTATTACCACATATCAAAAACACTTATATTGCATTTGTCTCCTTCACGTTACCAATTAGATCATCTCTACAAGTAATATGTAAATGCCAACAAACATATAATTTCAAGAAACATTATTGTTACCCTATCTCCGAGAAATTATTTCCTTGCAGATATTGATCTACATTTTAAAATTATAGATAAAATAACAATAAATGAAAGGTACAACAACGGTATAACAAAGAAAACCCTACCGAGGTATTAACTGCTTCACTTCTTGTCCAAAATGGATTAAGAAAATGTCAGCATATGGAACACAAGATTTTCCAGACTCGAGGAATGTTGTAATATACATTGATTTATTCTTTTAAGCAGACTAATCTTTATTGATGTTCCCAATATCCTATGCATATATTTTGATGTAATTACGGATCACTGTATACGATCTTGTAAAGAACAGGGTAGGATCCCAAAACCAACCTCAACATTGTGCTTTCGAGGCATACAAATAACAAACTGAAGCTATAACATTGAAACATGGGTCCGTCAACTTGCACATATAATGTGGATGTAGTCCCTTTTTACTCAAACTAATGAATATATATGTGTCTGTGTGTGTTAAGAAATTTATATTGAATTTCATGTCCACAATCACATTAAGAATGTGTTTGGTAAACGGACAGGACTGGACAGGACTCAACGAGCAATAGTGAGGTAGGCGGTGAAAGAATTGTGGAAGGTTTTAGGGTTTTAATTTGACATGGGTAGTTTAGTAATTTACCAAGCTTGTCCCATCTATCTGTTTTGGTTCCACCTATTGTGGTGGGACAGAAAAAATGCATTTTTGTCCCACTCAGTCCTGTTTAGGTCCTACCTAATTGTCGCACACTCGCACCAAAAGTGAGACAATAAGTTTTTGTTTTCTCCCATACTATCCGGAATACCAAACAAATCCTAAAGGGCCAACAAAATCCCAAATTATTCAAAAGCATCACAAACATGGCTCAGCATTAGTTCCCCATCCCATAATAATCGGCATCTGACTTTGATTTGATATATACATTTCTAACTTCAAAATCGACAAACAGGTTCTAGAATAAAACTGGATTACATCAGACCATAAAAAGCAACTATGTTGGAACACAGTTAAAACTAGAAGGTAAAAGGGGAAACTAAAAATATCAATGTCAACTTCTTTATTGGAAGGTAGTAGGTTTGAATTTCTGAAACCAAAGATGTGTAATAATAAGGGAGTATCGTTTTTCATTTTCTTCTCACTTGTAACTTCCTTCTCTTTAGAGCTTCTCACTTCATTCTGAAATGGTATGCTGAAAGATAACAAGGAGACCTCAATTTCCTAATACAAAGTGCCACTCAGTGTTTCATGCTTTTTTTGGAAAGTGAACAGTACATCTAGCAAATTTTATTGCTAAACAGCACGTACTTACCATGATAACTACTCCTTTAGCACCCTTACTCAATCACACCTCAGCTGGGGAACTTTATGGTAGTGTTTGGATGTGCATCTAAAGTGAAGTTGCAATAATCAGTTTTGAGTGTTAGGAAGAAACTGACTATGATTCGGATTTACTAATTATTTATGGTCAAAGTAATTAGATTTAGATAAGCATGTAAGGAGTTGCTAGATATAAAATTAGCTAGCTATCAGCTTTAATCAACAAATTTTATAATTCTGATTCTTCAAGTCGCAATAAGCACATCCAAACCACCCCTGCCCCCCAAAAAGAGTTTCATGACGAATCTACAGCACTTGGACTAAATTGAATAAGTTAGCAAGATGCCTGCATCTAATATTTTCCATCACTCAAGATCAAACTTCATGCTTTTGTAAATACGCTTTACAGAAAATAATTTGATTGACAATGAAACAAGCTACAGCACTTGAGAAGATCACACAACAAGTAATATGACTTCCATTACTAGATTTTACCTAATCAGGGATCCCTACCTTTTATATGATTATAAACACTACTTATGAAAAGGACTATCTGTCTATGTGGCATTGCTCACTAGCATTACATCAGTGACTGAATCTATAGAGTTGTCACTACTCAAGCTAGCAAATCTCCATTTAGTCCATACCATTTAAGGAGGCTTACCATCCTGTTATTAGTCTCATCTTCTCTTTCTTCTTTTGTCCTTAACTTATGAACCAAAGATATATTCTCTGTTTTATTGCTCTAATCTCCAAAGACATGTGCATGCCTCGTTAAGCTTTTCTTGATGACTCTCTGGTCGGCAAATTATAACAAAGAAAACAGATTCATGCAATAACATGTATTTATTGTACCAAAGAGAGGTAGTTCGGACAGGTAGAGATCAACCAAGATTGACACAGGGTAAAGTTAAGTAGTGTAGCAACATGTGCATGGGTAAAGTAAGCCAAAAGATTTGGCCTTAAATAGGTGCATGTGGAAGAAAGTCACTTGTATCTCAGTTAACCTTTTATGTTCACTTATGGGTCCCATCCTTTTTGTCATTTTCATTCAATTTCATTTTAAGCATGCCCAGTTGGTTTTGGATGAAAGACTTGTTTTCATTCTACTTTGAATCTTCCCAATTTCTTCTCTAACTTTTCACAATTGTAACATTGACATAAGCTTATGGAAGTAAATAAACCAAATGAAATCGATCCAGTGTATCCCACTCAAAAGTAAGGACTGTAGGATTTGGGAGAGGTAGGATGCAGGCAGACCTTATCTCAAGTCCTTGGGATTAAGAGGTTGTTTCCATGAAAACCGCCGGCCTGGGCACAAAACAAAGGTGTGTGCATGCAGACAATATTATTGGTAATATAACAGGTAATCAAAAATATGACAGGTAGAATAACGATTTCGATGGTGTGTGCATGATTCAAGGGTGTGTAAGCAGACAGTGTAATTAGGTTAAGACATGAAATACAAGTAGATATAAACCAAACAGTCAATATCAAACTATTAAGCCATTAAGCAAGTCCATTCTTCATACGTGGTGAGTAGAAAGCATATTTTCCCCTTCTCCTAAAAGATCAATACATTTTGATTTTGACTAATCAAAAGGAAATTTGTTTTTGATTCCAATTTCCAAACATTCTGTTCATGAAGTGATAGCTAAATTAAACTTCATAACAAATACTACATACTGAAATTTGTTGGTGATAACTTAGTAACAATATTTACAAGAATTTTTTATTTGAAAAGAAGTTCTAACCTCTCTTGTGTTTAAAAGGCATACACTAGGCTACTGCTGTCCAGATAACCAAACAACATGGTAGCTTCATTTGTAAACCAACTTCCATCACCAAAGGGTATGCTAAACATCATCATATAAAAGATAACCCAAAAAAACAACAAACACAAATCAATTTAACAACGTCAAACGCCATCAAAAACCTAAACTTGTACAGTTGATTCTCAAACAAGAGTAAGAACAATTGGTACTAACTGCTGAACCAAAGATGGAAACTCCTCACCACGTGTAAACACAAACGCAAAATCATGGTGAGCGAATTTAGTTACCTATCATCGATTGGTGATCCTTAATCGCCAAAACCATCTTGTTTAGCCAAGATCTTTGCCGTTTAATGGTTATTCCACATCATTAATGTTCGAATTTTGATATTTTCCCCTTCGAATGACAGAGATACATGTTTGACGGTAGTTTCCTCTTGGGATTTTTGAGACCGAATGATTTCTTGAAGAGAAGAAACGGAACATGATCATATGGACATACTCTAAGCCCTTCTAGTTTCCTTGTTTGTTCAAATAAGCCCTTCATCTTTAGTTTTTATCCTTTCGAACCAAAATAACAAAAATTAAATATTTTTAGGTTACAAATAGGGGTTTGGATCGGGCAGGTTCTGGTAAAATTAATCGTATTTTGGATATGAAAACCAATCCCTGAATTTTGGGTTTTGGATTTCAGATTGCTTTATGTTCGAGGTTGTCGGGTTTTGGTTTTAAGTTGGGGTTGGTCGGGTTCGGTATGGTTTTATGCAATATATATACATATATATAGGCCTAATCAAATGATAACTAATTAGTTTGTGGTAACCGTGAGATCCAATCTCAACCACAAATCAATAGATAAATTATGAAATTTATAATTTTGAATTAAATTTTTAATGCAAGGACATTTTAGGTATTTTAAAACTCTTCTTTCTCCTCTCTCCTCCCTCCTCTCTCCTCCCTCCTCTCTTCTCTCTCCATTTCCCATTCTCCGGCCTCCATCCTCTGGTGATACCACTGTGGTATCACAATGCATTTTATATGTGTTTGGGTATCATACTAAGGTCGTTTGTGTGGTCGATCGGAGATGTAACACAGTGGTATCTCAATGTATTTTATATGTGCTTAGATATCACATTATGTCTTTTGTTTAAGAGAGTCAATATTTTTAGGTATCACAGTGGTATCACTGGAGGACGGAGGCCGGAGACCGGAGGACGGGGGACGGAGAGAAGAGAGGAGATAGGAGAGTTTTGAAATACCTAAAATGTACTTGCATTAAAATTTCAATTCAAAATTACCAAAATTATAAACTTCCTACTTTATCTATTGATTTGTGGTTGAGATTGGATCTCACGGTTACCATAAATAGTCAGTTCTCCTTTGAATGCGCCACTATATATATATATATATATATATATATATATATATATATATACATATATTCAATCGATTTTGAGAATGAATGCAATCGATTGAGAGGATAGTATTTTTAGAAATTATAAAAGAGTATGACTGACTATGATTTAGGATTTTCGAAAGATAACTAGATAAATAAATGTATCCATGTAATATTTAAAAAAATTATATATATCAGGTTTTCAAACGGTTCAATGGTAAAACATCAAACATGATCTGTCCCAAACGTCGGGTTTTAGATTTTTAGATTTCAGGCTCCGAATTTGCACAAACACCTTATTTTATGTTCAGGTTTCACTTCATTCATGCTTTGCACACCCCTAATTACAAAACACTATAGGTTTTTAGGGTATGTGGATTGTAATAAAAATTTGTTGTCTCAAAATTCTTTGCCCTCTTCCTGTCTTATCAATTACATGAATTCATATTTTTATTTAATATAAATTTATCTAAAAGGTTGTTCAGTTGTATTAAGTTTTGTATGAATAAAGTTGTTTGTATCAATATAGCTGTCTGTATGGATGTAACTAAATTGGTGTCTGGCTGTTGTGCTGAATAAACAATTTGAATGGTGCAAATGACTATTTTACCCTTTAATTTATAATAACAATATTTGTAGATAAAATTGTACAATAAACAACAATATTTGCAGTAAATTTTAAAGAAAGTAGTAAATCAAGTATAATCAAGAACAACAAACAAATCAAATATAATCAGTTGTTGAATTAAATTAAACCGAAATAAAAAAAACCCAAATCGATGAACCCTAAATTAAAAAAAATAGAGAGGTTAGAATCATATTCAGAATGAGGTGAAGTATAAAGCATTTGAATCTCACCTTCATATAAATCGAGGGTTTGAGAGGTCTATGAGATGGGATTTCTTCAAGAAGGGTCAGAACCATATTCTTTGAGGGATTTTTCTTCAGATCTAAGTGACGAGTTTGAGAGATTCTTGAGGAGACAAAAGGTGACCGATGACGGCAAACGGGATTGACGATCGGAGAAGCAAAGATTTTTATGGTGGTTGGAGAAATCAAAAGTTTGTAGAAACAAACTGCACCTGTAGAAATCAAGAGCTCGGCGATCGAAGAAGCAAAGGTTTTAATGGTGGTTGGAGAAATCAAAAGGAACTATTCAAGTGGTTGTGCTAGCAAACATTTTTGGTTATTACAAGGGCCAGCAGGTAAATTCGTTGGATAACGCGATGCTTGGGACTTTTGAAAAATTAATCTAGTTTGGATGAATGTATCTTCAGAAAAATATGAAAGCAACACATATCTTATAAATAGTCGTCTTTATAAAGACTAATTAGTAATCGTGGTTTTTGTATAGCCATTTATTTTGCAATCATTACTTTTGCAATTGTTTATAGGTTTAAAAAATAGCAAAACATGAGTTTTCGAATGGGTCATGCCGATTTTTTGCCATAAATTTATGACCTAAGTATAGGGTGTTACAAGTGGGTTGGACAAGGATTATTTATTTTGTTTGTTTTTCATTTTTACACTTAATTTTATTTTAAATATGACGTGGAATCTACTTGGTATTTACTTAGGTCATGTCATCACCGGCAAGTAATGAGGTAACATATACCCTTAAATAAATGAAAATTTTGCCTCGAACCCTAAAATAACGACTTTGAAATTTGGTTCCCAAAACAGGAATCGTGCTAAAGTTGGTTCCATTTTAATGCAATTTTCTCTTTTCAATAAATATGTAAAAAGTGATTATTTCATTAATTGTTTATATATTTATGGTCATTTCACTGATTTCCCCAAAAACAGGCTATGATTTAAAGTTGAATGACAAGAGCATCACGAGAGATTGCTTCATTATCGCTTTTAATAGTGATTTGTCTTATTGGTGAGTGGTGGGCCGGTGACCAGTTGCCTTATTTTGTACTGAATTTGAGTAACAACAACAAGTTTCATGGTAGCAAAATTAGAAATTGAGATCCCCACACCACGTTTCTTTTTCTTGTTATTCCTCTTGTCGTGTATGAACTGTTTATCTGCTTTGTTGTTTTGTTTTTTTATGTGGGCTGCTCACCTCTTTATTTGTCTCTACGTTACGTGTTACTAGGAGGTAACACTTACTGATTTTGGTAATTGCTCAAACATGTTGATTGCATCGCCCTTGATATAACTCATCGGGTGTATTTGTTGCCTCTTCTTTATTCTTCCCATGAATTGATGCTCCTGGAGTGTGTTGCTACCCTCAAGTTTATTAGATTACTTTCAAAAATAGGTGGTTTCCATTTTACTGCTAGTTTCGTTCCTAATCGTAAAAGACATTAAGGGCCTGTTTACCTAAACACTTACCCGGTAAGCACTTACCGGTAAAATTCAACAATGTCGATTATTTACCGAGTAAGATTTTATACACTATAACGCATTGTACGCAACAATTTATCCCGGTAAGCGATAACCATGGTAAGAGTTCTCGTCCTCACTTACTGGGTAAGACTCTCGATTATTGCCTTCACTCTTATCGGGTAAGATTATTAGCTCTTGCCATATTTGTCATTTGTTTCTCTAATCTCGATTCTTGCCTTCACTTACTGATCTAAATCACCACCGACAACCGCCAATCTGAACCACCCCGACCACCACTGATATGACCTATCGCCGATTTGAACCACCCTCGATCTGAACCACATCCGACCACCGCCAACCACTACTAATTTGAATCACCACCGCCAATCTGAACCACCCCGACCACCACTTATATGACCCATCGCTGATTTGAACCACCCTCGATCTGAACCACATCCGACCACCGCCAACCACTACTAATTTGAATCACCACCGACAACCGCCAATCTGAACCACCCCGACCACCACTTATATGACCCATCGCTGATTTGAACCACTCTCGATCCGAACCACATCCGACCACCGCCACATGAAGCACCACACACCACCAATCTTAGCTATTGTCGACCACCGACGACTACCATCAATCTGAATCACCGCCGTACACCGTCGACCACTAACGATTTAAGTAACCACCGATCTTAACCACCTCTGCCACTGCCAATCTGAACCACTACTGATCTGAACTACCGCCGACCACCTCCATTTGAACCACTGCAAACCACCATCGATCTGAACCACTGTCGACTACCGCCATCTAAACCACTGCGGACCACCACCGTGAACCACCACTGATCTCAACGACCACCGGCCATCGTTGATTTAACAACGTTATTTGGTTTATGCTTATATTTGGGCTGTATATTTTACATTGTTGTACATGTTAAATAAATATTTATTAAAGTATTTTTAGTTTTAAAAAAAATATTTTTTTCAAAAAAAGACATTTCAGTCATTTACCAATATTTCATTCAAATTCCAAAGCTATATTATGTGAACCAAACATACAAATTCCATTCCAATATCTAGTAACCAAACAAGTGGTCAAACATGACAACATTTCATTCCAATTTCTTCAAAGTCAAATTTCTTTAACATATTCCATTCCATTTAAAAACATTATGTGAACCAAACGAAACCTAAAATTTGGTTTAAAAACCCAAATCTGATGTGTTGTTCAAAAGCCTAGAAATGATGTGGCCTCAACCCATGTTCAAGATACATCAACCAAGATCAAACTCGTCATCTTCTTCATGGATCATCATAAACACCTGCACTTTTTTTTAGAATCATCATAAAAATCCTGGAAATTCTTTTGATACTTATGTACATAAGTTATCTTATCCACCATTTTTTTCCCACCATACATGTAACTTTTGTTTCACAAACCGGCTAAAAAGTCTTACATCGTGAAACGAATACATGTGAAACAAACACACTGTGAAAACATACATATGTTAATAAATATTCTAAATCATAGTTTTGGATGGAAAAAAATCATATGAAATAACATATCATGTACTAGTTCTCAAAGTTTTCATAATATCATGGGTTTTGAAAATAAGGTCCCCCCTCTTTTTATGAAAGTTTTGCTGAGAACCCAAATTTGGTTAGGAACATGGGACCGTCCACATCATGTTATATGTCCTTATTCAAGATGAATATTCACCACTAATAACACATTCACGTTGAACATGAAAGGGCTATTCATCATAAATGTCACGTTTATGATAAATATAGATGTGTTATTCATCATGAATTCATGTTGAATATACCACATGTCACGTTGTGGGCGGTTTTTTAGTTCATAATCAATTCAATTTTTAGGTTCCTAATGAAACATGTCATATGCATACACAACACAACACACACACACACACACACACACATATATATATATATATATATATATATTGAATTTTGATCAAATACTAATATTATCAATGACATTTTTGTAATTTGAATGAAATTTTCATGAAGGTACATAGATTAACTATAAGAATATATGTGAATTTTGGATTAGAGTAGAAAAGGAAATAATCTTAAATAGACAAATTAAATCAAAAAGATTTTATTCTATTTAATTTGATACCCATTTTGATATTTTTCGTTTTATATTTTTACTGTTTTTATTATATTTTTGCAATATCCATATTGATTAATGAATATACACTACATGAATAACACACGCTGATGAAATCTTAGACGATGCATTGTATTTCACATGTGAATACTCTCATGTGTTTAGCACGTGATGGACACTTAACAGATAAACTTAATATCTGTTATGACTAGGGACAAAATCCATAATGAAATGCAAACCGTAAGATTATCTATGTAATTTCAAAACCATATGGTCAAAAATCAAAATTTTGGTAAACCGTATAATGATTTTTGTATTCTTTATGATTGGATGAACTGAAACATATTTTTTGACACCCACAAAACTTGACATTCCAGTTAACGAAATCAAACAAATACAAGAAACACCGAGACAAACTAGTTCCATCCTCAACACTATCTGAACAGAAACACGAGTCTATGACGATAATAGGGCTACCGTGTTTCCAGACTGTTTCAGAAAGAGAACCAGAACATTATGGACATCACGAAGAATCACCTTGTAGTCTTTGATTAGAGAAACAAATGACGAACTCAATTCCATGCCACTTCAAAGGGCTTGGATATTGACCAGACAGTCAATTTCCACCACCACCTGCCTCTAGCCTATGTCGTTAATCCAACTCAATGCTTCCTTGAGTTGAGTTGAAACATATCTCAACAAGCCAACAATTGAAAAATTTCGACCAATTAGTCAAATTGTTTTATGGAACACAAGGTTTTGAAAAATCATGAAAATGTGAGGACTGAAAAGGGAAACACAAGAAAGTACAAGGGTGCAATTTGAAAACAACGATATTACGAATCAAGCAAACACGGCCTTATGTGACTTCCATGCCCTTTTTACCCGAAAAGATATCGACCCCGTACGCGTCATCTTCTAACCACTATCCCCTCAAGAGTATTCCGCCGTCGACCGCCACAAACCACCGTATGTCTCTTCCTATCTGTCACCATCTCCGTCCCCGTGTGTGTGTTTCTTTGACGTATAACTTGAATTTTGTGTTTGATTTCACTAAATTATTTCTATGTTTACACATTTTTGCGTTCTGTGTTAGGGTTAGGGTTAGGGTTTTGAATCTGTGAAATTGATTTTCAGATATTGACAGTAATTTAACTTGAAACTAGTACATATTAGAACTTAATGGTTATTATTGATTTGACTCGTTGATACCATATCAGGATTGGATAGCAAGATCCGAGGGTTCGTGGTAAATTTTGGGGTTTATATGGCTGATCGTAACTTGGCGGTGGTGAAGCCAATATGGATGAAGCAAGCAGAAGAAGCAAAACTAAAGAGCGAAGCTGAGAAAGATGCGGCGGCTAAGGCGGCCTTCGAGGCTACCTTCAAGGATGTTGAGAAGAACCGTGAGCCTGCTGCTTTGTCGGATAGTGACGGCGATGAAGAAGAAGACTTGACTAACAAGCCTATTGGGCCAGTGGACCCCTCCAAGTGCACGGCTGCTGGGACTGGGGTTGCAGGAGGGACGGCATGCGCGCCGTCATCCTTTGTTGTCGTTACAAAGGATTCAGATGGTCGTAAAGTTCCCAATGGTGGAGCCCTGGTTAAGGTGAAGGTTTCACCTGGGGTGGGTGTTGGAGGATCCGAGCAGGAAGGGATTGTGAAGGATATGGGTGATGGGACCTATACAGTTACTTATGTGGTTCCGAAGAGAGGGAACTACATGCTGGATGTTGAGTGTGACGGCAAGCCTATCATGGGGAGCCCTTTTCCGGTTTTCTTTAGTGCAGGTATTGCATCATTTGTCATGTTTATAGATGTATATCTGAATTTTCGTGCCTATATTGTTCTTGCATTGATGGCTACTTGTATTATTCAAATTAAACTGGCAAAGAGCTGTGTGTGCTACAGTCACCTTATCTTTAAAATAGACATCATTCATCAACATGTGAATAACACCATATGTGAATTTAAATGTCATTCGCTTCAAATGTGTTAATTTGTTTCTAAAAGGATAAAGTGGGAGAGGGATTTAAACTCATGACATCCAAGATACTGGGCGGCGCTGAATAGCTTCAATCTAAATGTTAGATAGAGATTGTAGATGTTAACTAACTATGATTTTGGCAAACGTTTTTCTCAGGCACAACTACTGGAGGGCTTCTGGGTTTTGCTCCACAAGTGAATTTCCCCAATTTGGTTAATCAGACGATGCCGAACATGCCAAATTACTCTGGTTCTGTTTCAGGTGCATTTCCTGGACTGCTTGGAATGATTCCTGGTATTGTGCCTAGTGCCTCAGGTGGGGTAGTCTTGCCTGGGATTGGAGCATCTCTTGGGGAAGTTTGCAGAGAGTATCTGAATGGACGCTGTGTCAAAACTGATTGCAAGTTCAGTCATCCGCCACACAATCTGCTGATGACTGCTCTGGCATCCACGAGTACCATGGGAACTCTTAGTCAAGCACCGATGGCGCCATCTGCAGCTGCAATGGCAGCTGCACAGGCCATTGTTGCTGCTCAAGCACTCCAGGCACATGCTTCCAGTGCACAAGCTCATTCATCTAGAGACACTTCTGGTATCAACTTACTTGGCCTTATTTTGTTGAATTCGATCATTATATATTTACCTTCTTGGAGAAAACAATTAATAATGAATTCATCCTTGAAGTGGTAAAATGAACCAGATCTTTGTCTAACTTGTGATGTTTTTGGTAGCTTAGCTATATATAAATTTTACTCCCAATAAAAAAATCACATAAATGTTGTTGAGATGCTCCATGGAAATCAGTTGAACTTCTTGACTATTTACATTACAATAATTCCATGATATCATATGTTCTTATTAAAATTGTCGTACTTCGTGGACTTAATTGTACCATAAAAGTACACTGTATTCTATTTCTTGATTGAAGAAGTAGAATTTGGTGGTGCAGTTGACAAGCGTCTATGAACAAATAAACGATGCATTCCAGTAGAGCTTCCAAAATTGGCCTGACATCCATTTCTTTTTACACCCTTTGTCTTGTAAATATTGCAACAAATGTTTATATTAATTGCATTTTCTTATTTGGAAAATTGATAAAATCGTTGCTTTTGAGTTATGAGTAAAAAATGGTCCAGAACTATTTGTGGGGCTTTAAATCTCAACGCCCGAGTAATTCTTTTTCATTGTTGGTGCCAGTTGTGTGTATAGTTCAGCTGTCATGTCTCTGACCTTATCACCTGTTAATGGTTACCGACAAAGGCATTTTTGTTTTTTAAATCACAACCTTTGTTATCAACATCTTATTAAATTTTAAAAGGACTCCTGCTTCCTTTCTTTTGTCGCTTTCCTTCTTCTCTTCATTCCATTGATCAATCTAAGAAGTAAAATTTTCCAAAAAATGACCATTTCTAATGATCATATGAACTGAACTAATAGGGAGAGGGGAAGTGTGGGGAGAAGAGGGAGAGGTTTGGACCTGATTGGGGAGGGTTAGTCACGATAGGGACCATCTATGCAGAGTTTGTACTCAATGACATAATTCTGCAGATGGATGTGTTTAGACATTGTCCATTGTTGTCATTACAAGTTATTGGTGAGATTGATGTTGGTATACATGATTCCTCCTATTTTCTCATTATTGGAAGATATTTTAGAAACATAATGGTATTGTATCCTATAAAATAGTGTTTGTGTTAGAGGCATAGCTTAATGGGTCACCATGGTGTCATGGTGGTGTCCAAGTGTTTTATTGACCTCTCTCCTTGGAGCACTAAACAGGTCTTCACTTGTTGACTACTTTTCATGACTAAGCACAGTTCTAGGCTGTACAACAGTAAGTCAGAAGCTTGTTATCTATTACTTAGTTTTATTTGGTTATCTGTTTTTTTTTTTACTATTATGTGTTCACTAAACAATATGTTGTTTCATGCTTTCGTTTATTTATTTAATGTTATTCATAACAGAAGCAAACACCACACACCAATTTATTTGATTCATTTTATTTATGACTTGTGTTTTTACTGTTTAACATGTATTTACTAATTTATAACTTCATTTTGATTATTGTTACTTTGATTTTGAAAATTGAGTTTTCTTCTTATTTTTCTGACCTAATCAAGGCAGGAGAAGAGTAAGCAATGTACACTAATTTCTACATGATCTGCAAGTCTTCAATGCAATATTGTTTTAAGTTTTGAGATTGAATTTTCATGACCTAGATTGTTTTTTACCTGATTTGCTGACTTGCATCGATTTTAATTTTTCTGAAGTAAGCAAATGTACAATATATCAATGTAATGATATATACGTTTATAGAAAACACTTAGAGAAGAACTTGTCAACACGGACGTGGTGGGTGCCAAGGCATTTTGGGGGTTGGATACCGCCATTATTCACCTTGGCACCGTGAGAACTATGGTTTGAAGCAATATATATTCCAGTCTTTGCAGTTTACCTCTGTAGTTGCTTAATTCTTGTTGCTTTCTTTTCAGGATCAGCAGACAAGGCAGCGAAGACGGATTCCTTGAAGAAAACTCTACAAGTTAGTAACCTGAGCCCACTGCTTACTGCGGATCAGCTGAAACAGTTTTTTAGTTTTTGTGGCACAGTTATTGACTGTAGTATCACAGATTCTAAGCATTTTGCTTACATTGAATATTCAAAACCTGAAGAAGCAACTGCTGCACTTGCATTAAATAACATGGATGTTTTAGGCCGCCCATTGAATGTTGAAATGGCAAAGTCATTGCCTCAGAAGCCTGCCAATATGAATGCTGCCCTTGGTTCATCTTCTTTGCCAATGGTGATGCAGCAGGCTGTTGCAATGCAACAGATGCAATTTCAGCAGGCTCTGCTAATGCAGCAAACCATGAACGCACAACAGGCAGCTAATCGAGCAGCAACCATGAAGACTGCAACAGAATTAGCAGCAGCTAGAGCTGCGGAAATAAGTATGAAGTTAAAAGCTGAAGGGATAATTGGAAATGACGATGAACCAATTAAAAGTCCCAGGTATTCCCATTATGTTGTTATTAGTTCTTTAATCTTATGTCTCATCATATACTTACTAAGAGAAACTGTGACGTGGACTCGGTAGTGATATTTTTTAACAAAGTTGATACCAGTATCTGGATGGCATATTATTTTTCAAGTAATCTTGAAAGTGTTGCAGGCTTAGTTTTAGGATTATCAGTCACGTCACTGTATTTGCAGCCATGTTTGACATATCATGTACTCAAACTCTTCCTGTTCATGTGTGACATTGGTTGTTAGAGTTCATATTAATAAACTGATGACAAACATGATGTTATATAACTAGTAAGTGGAAATTGGAGGTCCAGGCCCAAAATCACTCTAAATGTATCTCCCCTGGCCTCAGAAAGATGAGGAGCCTTGGCGCATTCCAGTCTCTGACACTATTAGGACTTCCTATGTTTGGTTGGAGGGTTTTTACCGTCTCAGTTGGTTACAGATTTGAGGTAACAATTTTTTGTATAAAGAAATTATTTGCTGAAGATATTCTTCAAACTTTATATGATTTAAATGACATTCTCAAACTTGATTCCTTCTTTTCATACTAGTTCAAAGTTTCTGTAGGAGTTGCTTTCATTACAAGTATGAAAAAAAAAATTTATATAAAGGCTTGCAATTTAACCCATGAAAAAGGAACAAAAGAGGCTTGTAGTGTGACCTGCAAAGCAGCTCTGGCATCCATGTTGCATGATGATAACATTTATCAAACTGAAATATGTTCACAATTAATCGTTATCGTTCCATAGAAGGCTTTGTGGTTTCTTTGATTCTAGATTCTTGATTCCACTTCTCATCTCTGTTTTGTGGGTCCCATTTCATTTATCCTCACATTCTGGAAATTGAAACTGCAAACTGGCAAGGCAAAATGACATGAACTAAAAGAATTGACCTAGAACCTTTTAATCCTGTAAATTGTACACTGGAGCTTTCATATCAAATTTTACAGAAGGTAAAATCCGGCAATTAATTTACCATGATCATGATTTAAGCTTCGTGATTCCCTTTCTATTTTTCTTTAATAGCTGATGAATCTGAGTGTTTGTAGGTCACCTTCTCCCGTCCCCGCAAGGTCGAGATCTAAATCAAAGTCTCCTGTCATTTATCAACGAAGGAGGAGGTCTCGCTCCTTTTCACCTCAGCATCGTCGTATGAGGGATTATAGATCCAGATCACCTGTAAGATCCCGCCATTACTTCAGTTATGAGTATGAAAGGCGGCCTTTTAGGGACATTAGGGGTGGTAGTGACCGAAGTAGAAGACGAGAATATGGCAGATCAAATGATCGTCATGCTTGGAGAAATAGGAGCAGGAGTGTGAGTCCACGTGCCAGAAAGTCTTACCGTGATGGTTCAGAATCTCCTAAACGCCGTCGTGAAAGTCCAACCCATAGGCCAAAAAAATCCTCTCAGGCCACCTCTAGATCTCCAGTTAGTCATCGAGGAAACAGGTCACCACCAAAAAGTGATGATCAGACTAAAGAAAAACACAGAAGGCGTTCCAGGTCAGGATCTTTGGATGTCAAGCATCGGTCTGATGATAAGATTGACGACAGTAGGGAGGAAAGAGCAAAACGTCGTGAACGGAGACGATCAAGGTCTAGATCTTTAGTCAGGTCATCACCAAAAAGTGATGATCAGACTAAAGAAAAAAACAGAAGGCGTTCCAGGTCAGGATCTTTGGATGCCAAGCATCAGTCTAATGATAAGATTGACGACAGTAGGGAGGAAAGATCAAAACGTCGTGAAAGGAGGCGATCAAGGTCTAGATCTTTAGAAGGTAAGCACCGTTCAGGTGATAAATCAAGTGACACAAAACAAAGGGATCGTAGGTACTCCAGGTCACTCTCAGCAGAAGATAAGCATCATAGTCGCAGTAATTTGAATACAAGAATTTTGGATGATGGTAAATCAAAGCACAGAAGACGCTCCAGGACTAGGAGTCCAGAAGATAACCATCGCTCGAGCGATAAAACCGATAGAAGCAGGAAGGAAAAGTCAAAGTATCATGCTAGAAGGCAGTCTAGGTCAGCATCTCCAGAAGGTAGGCGTCACAAAGGGAGTAGAAAATCCCCAGGACGTTCGGATGAACATAAAGCAAAACACAGAAGGCGGTCAAGGTCAAAATCAGCAGAACATAATCGATTGAACAATGATGATCATGATCCTGATTGGTCTGGTGACGTTAATGCAGAGCGTAATTCTAACTCAAACATTTTAAAGGATATCAAGGAGGATGGTGCATCATTTCCTTCACCTCGAGCTGACAATGTAACTTACCCAGATGACTCAAAAGGTGGAAGCGACCCCTTCAAGTCTGAAACTTATAGAGATGGTGAAAGGGATCACAAGACAGCCCAGGTTACTGTGAAGAAACCACATGATGCTGAAGAAGTATGATATGAGCCATGTAATTGTTGGCATTATTGTAAAGCAGTAGCACTTGATAATGCTTGACAAGTATGTTGCCTGGATTAGTTTCACGGAATTGGGATTTTGAGGAAAGAGATATTGGTTCCTGGAATATGCCTGACGCATGGAGGATTCCCTGGCTTTCTCTTAGGCTCTCAGAAGTCAGAATGTTATCTCGATCTTTGGGCTCTGTAGAATAAACGAGTTTGTTTTCTTTTGCAGGTTCAACAGGAATATGCTGGCTTCACTCTTTCTGCTGATTTTAATTGGTTAAAATGTTTGAAGAACTTTTCTGCACCCCTAACTGGAGTCTGCAATGCAATGTTTTTAGCGACTTAATCAGCTTAATGTATGTCCTATTGCTACCTCCATCATTAGGTAGTGATATCTTAACTGACTGAAGTGTTCTTTTAAGGAATATCATTAGTATGTTCTGTTAGCTGTGTGCTGTTTCTATTATTCGTTTACAGGGTTTCACTGGTAGGTCTGTTTTTAGATAATAAGTCTTCCATGTGGTGCAAGATGGAGCCTTACATCTATGATAATTGTGTTATGTGCTTTAAACAAGTTATGTTTCTTTTAGAAGTTTGCTTTTTGAGTCAACACCCTTTTTCTTGTTTTTTGCAATTAGCATGGAAAAGTGTAATATTTGTGGGGATTCATTTTTACAGCTGAAAATAGGTTTACCTTTCATTGCATGGTGGCCACGTTATAATTTAAACACATGCAGGTTGCTGGCTGGTTTCTTGTGGCGCTTTATCAGATCCACTTGGCAGGGTTTTTCTTGTCTGGTTGTATATAAAAGGTATGGAGCCGAACATTAGTTCAAATGGCAGGCTCTTATGATGTTGAGCTTGCCAACCAGTTCTTGAAATCTTTTGGAGTTCGGAGTGGTTTGAAGTGAAACATATATTTGCAAAGTATTAGATTGCAATAACAAGATTGTATGCACCTTACCCTGTGTCTTTTTCCCTTTTTTGCCTTTCCCCCTTTTTCTTCTCTTTCCCCTTTCTTCCTTTTCTTTTTTTCTTAAAATTGTTGATTAGGTCAGCTTTTTTAAGACCGACCGCAGCCAGGTGTCGCCGAGCTGACTAGTATCTTGATGCATGAAGTACAGAGCAGATTGGCTAACTATGTGTTCTTTTATCCTGGTGAACTGGGATGTGTTAATTGGCAGGTAATAGTTCTTTGAACATTGTAGTTGTCTATAAGAAATGGCATGCCAAAGGGTCAATGGCCTGGCGGCACTCGGGTGCGGGTAGATCTCAACCTCCTTGGAGGTCAAGGGTTCAAGCCTCATCAAAGGTGAGGTGTGTGTGTGAGTTTTGGCATATATAACTTAAAAAAAGAAAAAAAAATGGCATTGCTATATGATGTTAATGTAATATGCTGGAATATGTGGATTTGCTACAGCAGATGTCTCATAATTTGAATCTTAGTGAATGCTTTACTAAACACTTTCACTTATAGCCATAGTATTTGTTTCATCAATTACTATCAGAGGTCATTGGGTTGACTATTTTTAAATATCTAAAACTTAAGGTCGCCAATGCTTAACTTAACTAGACACCATTTACTTGCTACCTTATGGTATTATTTGTTTTCCTATAACACTCTGCACCACCGACTCTGGTCTTCTTGTCAGAGTCTCCATCATTGCTTCTCAATTGTTCCAATGTAGTAGTCTTTGAAACACATAATTAACTTTATTATATTGGTATGACACGTTTTTCCCCCCTTTTTCCCCCTTCATTTTGATGCGAGTACTGAGTAGCAAGATAGAACGGAATGCTGGGTTGCGAGGGTTCAATGTTGTTCCCTTAATCCACACTAAGACCAACAACCATTATAGTACCAGCTATCTATTTTTCAAAAGAAAGAAACGTAATTGAACAAACATAAGACAAAGGTCACCCTATAACTGTTTTTATAGTGTTGATGTTAGCATTATCCTTATTTATCAGATTCCTAGCGAATGAGTCCCCTGTTTTTCTTCATATCCATTGACACGAGGAGTTCCATATTACCCAGATGTAAATTTAGCAGCTATTACTTTGTATCCTTTTTTTTTTATTAACCTGGATATCCAACCCGCTATGCGAGCCGACTAAGCCCAGGGCGACCACCTGCTTTGCGGATAGCCCGGAGTCACCGCATTTGAATCTCCGTGGCCACAAGGGGATTTTTATTTCTCCTTGGATTTGAACTCGAGACCTCCAGGCACTTCAAGCTCAAACCAATCAGTCACCACACTTGTAGTTTATTACCTTGTATCCTTTAGATTTGTACTCTTGAATGTTTGAAGTGCTGCTGAGGTTGTCTTGGACGCGAAGCTGTGTAGTTTGATCCTTGTCTATTTAACTATGGTTTGGCTTGTTGAATTAGATTCAAGTTTGATGCTTGATTGTTATGTGTCATACATTTCGAGTCGGTACCTGGTTAAGTTTGCTTTTATTTGTGTATCTTGTTAGGTATGTGTACATCTTACCCTCCCCAGACCGCACCTTCTTCAGGATTTATTGGGTTTTTAGGTTTTGATTTGGAGTTGATAGCACAAGGATATCGTTGACGTAGGTGCTAGTGATTGCTATATGAATCTGTTATACATTAATGTAAAGTAACCCACAAGAGAGTGGTTTGTCTGCAGGTTCTGCTGTGTTATTAATAGAGTTTTTAGCATGTGGGGTTGTGATAGAATGATGAAGAGGGTCTAGATGTTGACTTTTTAACCACCATTAGAAAGCGATGCTGCCTGAAAGGATGAATCAGATAGAGTTGAAAAAGAGAGTGACAATGGACCTTTTTCAGGTCAGAGCTTGCGTGTGAGATGGAACCAATAGATAAAACCTTTGATTGTTGGTCATGAGTACTGATCTGCCTGAAGGCCAATGCCAACTTCGTAGGGGAGTATTCGAGCTTAAATCTTGGGGTGAATTATAGGGAATATGTGCCGGTGGTCTGGTCATGTTGATAAGAAAACGATCACGTGTTGTGGGGTCAAAACCCAATATTTCATCTTTGTATATACATTTTGGAGGGATATAGATAGAAAGATGGCTGGGGTGGGAAATTATGAATTAAACTTCTTTTCCTGGAGAAGTAAATGATAGTATCTGGATTCATATATAAATATTTGAATTTTATTTATTTATAATATTTAAACCTTAGTACTTTTTTTTTTTTTTGAATTTTCCATCATAAGGAAACGTACAAGGAAAGCAAAGGTTGGTTGGTGCAATAGTTAATTAAATTTGTCCTTCAATATTAATTTCCATCATGTGCTTGTTATATATATATATATATATATATAGAGAGAGAGAGAGAGAGAGAGATTTTGAGATTTGGGATGATGTGAGACCAAAGGTTTTTTGTGAGATTCTTAAGACCAATTTTCAACCCTTAGATTAGATCTATAATCTGAACATTTAAAATCATAAATTTGCCATGAGGTTTCTCAATAATCATAAAATTGTTACCGTGCAACTTTAGAACATTAGATCATTAACTTATAAAGTTGATCAGTGAACATAAATTGGCTTACGGGTCTCACGAAAAACCCTTGGTACCATGTGAATTCAACCCCTCCCCCCCAACACACATACACACACACACATATATATATATATATATATATATATATATATATATATATATATATATATATATATATATATAAAGAGATCTTCACTTTTGGATGCAGATTAAGATGAGATACACTTGATCAGTCCTCGTATCAAGCGTAATTCATGGGTGGGTTTGAGATTAAAGGTGATCAAGGGTCCAGATACATTCTTATACTTCTCACTTTAACTCTCATTCTCACATGATCTTTCGTCTATACGTGTGCATGCGCGCGCACATATTTTTATATATATAAAAATATAACGAGAATGTGAGAATTGAACCACTAATCATGTGAAACAATTCATGTGAAACAAAAAATAGGTATAAAAAATAATCACATTTGCATACATCATTTCCTAATGCAAAAGTGGTTATGACTTGTTAATGTTATCGTGGTTTTCATTTGACCAGTTCTATATATCGGTGTGTTTTACAAACACCGTGTTTTAATGTAATGTTATGGACATTTTATAAATATCAGTTCAAAATCATCTTGTTATAATCATAATTGATATGTTATTACTTGTAGTAACAAGTGGTATGACGTTTTCGGTCTGTAGTTCTTGTTCATGTCTTATAGGTTTCAGTTTAAGCTAAAATTGCATTAAGCTCGAATGGCTTGTGGCGAAACATATTAGGAACCGAAGAGAAGCAAGGAATGAACGACCTTCAATCCTTATTTGGTTTTCTAGTTTCTTGTAAACACTAGACAATTTGTATTCATCTATCACAACATTGTGAAGATCCACAATGTAGCATTTACTTTTTTCTATATATAGAGGGTGTTTATTTTACAAACCATACAAACAAATTTCATCAGCTCATCTGGTCTAATGAATATTTGATCCAATAGATATTTCAATTATTTTCTAATATAAAACGTTGATCATAATAAATGAACTATTGTAATATTCATTTCTATAGATATCTTACATAATTGGTTTGTACGGTATTAATGAGGAAGTTTACAAATGATCCGTCTCTCTCTCTCTCTCTCTCTCTCTTGTGTAATAGGCGAACGATCGTGAGAGAAGAAGAGTTAAGGTAAAAAACGTAAGAAGAGATTTGGTTCCTTGATCATCTCTAATCTCAAACCTATCAATGAATCGCGTTTATTGCAGGGAATGATCCGGTGTATGTTCGTGCATCTCATCCTAATTTGCATCTAAGGATGAAGATTCTTTCTTACGTTTTTCACTTTAACTATCACATTTGTTCAACTAATGCAACCCAATTAATTAAGATATTTATAAAAATGATTAGAGTTCATTTATTATGATTTGAATATTTATGAAAGATAACTAGAGTTCATTAATTATGATCAATACTTTATATTAGAAAACAATCAAAACTTTTATGAAATCACATATTCATCAAATTAAGTGGACGGTTAAGATTGAGTTGTACAAATGTAAATGGTTGCATTGATCACTTTTAATCTCAAGCACGTCCATCAAAAAGTAGAGATCTCTTTTTACGTTTCTTACCTTTAACTCTCATTCTCATAAGAGTCGAACCCTGTAGCGTATAGAATCCAATGGTTAATTAAAAAGGTCATAAAACAGGTTCTAAATCCAAATCATTAAATGGAGCCCATTTTAGTATGGTAGCCTTGTAATCAATTTTTTTTTTCCAGGTGACAAGATTGTCAATGGTTGGAGGTCATGAAAAGGACTATTATGGTAGCAACAACCAAATTCAAAGCTAAGAATGGTCAAAGGGACCGTTTATCAAATACTTACTCGGTAAGTGTTTATTGGTAAAATTTAACACTATTGTTTACTTTACGGGTAAGATTTTAGTCCGCCAAAACGACATCGTATGTAACAATTTACACGGTAAGTGCTTACCGTGGTAAGAGTCGTCACTATCATTTACCGGGTAAGAACTCTTGGTTCTTGTCTCGCTCTTACCGGGTTAAACGTTTGGTAAACAGCCCCTAAGAATGAAAAAGACGATGAATTTTCTAAGTATTAGGAAATGAAGATTAAAAACCCGTTCGAGAAAATTTATGATTTCAAAACTCGATCGATTTTAAAAATTTAGATATAATTTTATTTTATTGTTTTTTATAATTCAAAGTTGTGATTTTAATAATTAACTTCGAATGAATAATATAATTGATGGTCTTATTATTTGACAAATAATTAATGGCTACTTACTAAAAATAGGAAATGAAATGGAATTCAATTGCATTCATTTGTGAATTTATAGTTGGATGTAAATAATAAATAATAATATTAATTCTAATCATTTAAAATATTAATTATTAAATTTCAATAACTGATTAAATGATCTATTTATTTGGGTGGTGAAATGAATGGAAAATACGAACGATTGTGTGAGAATAAGAGTTAAAATGAGAAATGATCCCTGATCACTTTTAATCTCATGTCCACTCATAAATTACGTTTTAGAAGAGAATTGATCAGGTACATCTCGTTGCACCTTATTAATTGAAAGGTGGAGATCTATTCTTACGGTTATCACCATAACTTCCATTCACACGAAACCCAACCCTCGATGAAATATGGTGATATTGAATTCCTTTTATTTTGATTATAACAAGGTTCATAATGGCGTGAAACATGGCATGACAACGAGGTCAAACTTCAAGCCTTAGGAGCTAAGACGAAGCCATGCCATTTTTTAAGGTGTGACTTATGGCGGCAAATATCTTTTTCATATATAATATTGTGTGCAAAAACATATGTTTTGTACTGTTAGTCAATAATAATAAACAATTTAAATTAGGTTATATATTTTAGTCGATAAGACATAAAAGACGTAAAGGAAAGTCAAATATCACATTATAAAAATCGCGCATTAGACCATGCGTACCACAAGCTTAACGTGGCGTGAGACACAAGCCTTGAGTTACGACGCACCACTGCGGCTGTTGAGGCGAGTCTTTTAGGACTATGATAATAAAACAAATAAATATAACTTATTAGAATTTGTCATTCGATTTTTATCGAATTATATTGAACAAAATATCAGGGTTGTTAACGAACCGAGTCGAGTCGAGTTGAGTCAACTAGCTTATTGTATGGGCTTGACTCGAAAAAATTAAATTGAAATACTTAAGCTCAAAGGTAATTATTTTGTCTTCAAAACAATGCTCTTGCTGTAATCTATACTATATTAAAGCATTTGACAAAACTCTTAAAAATCATTTTTTATATATGAAATATTGTTTATTGATGCATATTACTTAAAATTCAACTTTACAAGTAAATTGTGCGTAAGTACAACTTATTAAAGCTCCATGCTTGAATTCGTGTAACTAACT